ATAACTATCATAAAGCCTGCCATTTGATATAAATAAATAACTTATTTGACAAGAAAGCCAACCACAGTGAGTCAGTTGGAGGGGGGCGGAGGTCGGTCACAGATGCTATGAGATTTGCACCGATGGACACTGATTTGGCTACTCCTGACTTGACCGACTTCTGCCTTGCCAATTGCGCCAACAAGCACCTCATGGTGGATTGCTACACTAGTAAGCTCAGTAACCTCTTAAACAGGATTTTCAAGTTTTGAAAGTCTCTCAGACATACTTCAACAGTAGAGAGGAAGCAGAGTTAAGTCGTGGAACGCGTTTATTTATGCTGCGTGTCTGTCACAGAGATATGTCATTAAATTGTAATGGAGGGTATGTTAATCAATGCAGCCTCTATTGATTGGTGGCTGTCCGAGAGGTCTATGTGATCACGAACTCCCTTGCTCCCCACACGACAAGTAGCACATAGCACCTTCGAGTGTCTTTGTTCAGCCATAATAGCGTTGCACAAAGATCATAGTTGCATCACTATCCTTCTTAGTTTAATATTTATAATTCAGCCATTAGCTTATGTTTGATCAAGTTAATCCTCAATTCCCTTCCTTTATTGGCAATCAAAATAAGGGGAATGCAAAAAAGTAAAGATTTGGTCGCTGCTCTAATGGGGCAATTAGTAAGTCATTGGAAAGTAAGGGAGTATGATAGACCTCGTTAGCAGTCACAACCGAGCACCTTCAGAAGAACCGGTTTCAATTCACGCTTTAAGGCAGATTGTTCTACTTCAAAGCATTTCCACTCAGCTCAAAAGAAACTTGAAAAACCAGAAAGTTGCCATTTTCCAGTCTTAAACCTAGACGGACGAGTAGAGACAAAACACTTTATTATATCAATATCGATTACTCTGTCGTTTATTACACTGAAACCACCAAGCTAATAGTCATTTTGAGAAATTGGATAGGTTAAATCACAGCTAATATTCACATTGGCGAAGAGTTTTATATACAACTTTACAGGAAAAGGCAACGCTGCTACTTTTTCTTCACAATACACTTCTTATGGCCTTGTTCAGAGGCCTTGGCTTCCAATGCAATCTTGAGAGCATTCAACTTGGAACCTTTTACATCAGTGAGACTTCTTCTGTGAGGATTCCATGGTCTGAGCAACTTCTTGTCCAACTTGGCCTTTCCTTTGGATTTACTGACAGCCCTGGCTACCTTTGCCGCCAGTCTACGCTCGCCCTTTCGTTGGGAAACTACGCCACCCAAAGCCTTCGCATGTGTTTTAGAGGCCCTTCTTGCTTTCCAAACCCCAACTAAACGTCGGAGTTCCGGATCAATTGCCACTCCACTTCGTGACATTACATCCAAGATGGCATCCATATGAGGTAGATCAGCATCTGTCCAGAGGGTTACAGCTCGACCGCCCACATGACCAGCTCGTCCTGTTCGACCGATTCTGTGAATGTACTCAATGGAAGATGGAGGGAGGTCATAGTTCACGACCATCATAAGGCTCTATTCGAAACAACAATATAAACAATACAATCTTGCCAATTAATGTCAACAATAAAGACAAGAATTTAGGGAGGAAATTACTCTAAAATCCATGCCTCTTCCGAGCAAGTCTGTGCAGATTAGAACGTTGACTTTGCCTTCACGGAAGGCTTTCACTGTGGCGACTCGCTAAATGAAGGCAACAAAAATTGTTAGATTATCTATTTATGAAAGCAGTTAACCTTTGATTGTTACGTAGTGACCTCATCAATTTTTAAATTCCGAATCTAGCTAACTTTGAATGATTGAAAGGTTTCTCAAAGAAATAACATTATGTGAAATTGCATAATGACGAAGTTACACTACTCCATCACCAGTAAAGCTAAAGCGAAAATTGGAATAATGAAATATCTTCAACTTAAGTACGATCTCTTCAGAATGAAAGCAAATGGGGTACACCTTCTTAGCCAAATCCGCACTAACTGGAATTTATGGCATCACGTTTAGTCATTTTCAAATTACATCAAGAACTACAGGTCAATAGCTTGCGGATTTGTCATGAGTTAAGTCTTTCATTCGATGCAATTACACCTACTCATTACACCACTCGAACAATTAATCTTTGAAAGAGAAGAACTTCAACGTGCGTTGTGAATACTCATAATGTCCTATAAGTCCTTTAAAAAATTAAATCCACACCTTCTAGCCATGCTTTAACCTACTTTAAACAAAAACGGCGATCATGTTTTTCACCAAACGCAACCCATACCTCGATCGTCACACATGTGTTGTAACCAAAGGTAGATCACTCTTTAGACTCCACAGTTTGGGGTTAAAAATAATACAAGACAATCTCTTTCAACGAATCATCCTGTCCTAATTTAATTATGCCAATTGGTCGATAAGAGTAAGATCTAATACAGAACCTTGCAGGTACCAAATAGAAAAATCTTGTATGCGAGGAACTTCCAATTTAAATTTAGTGTCACCTATAGAAAAGTGCAGTGTGTGGCTTAGTGATAAATCTTCAAGCATTAAGAGTTAAAAGCAATATGTCTATCGTCGGCCGGAATACTCAACCACGCTGGTTAATGTTTATCAGTTTATCAAATGAGAGTTAATTAATCAACTCTTCACTTAAAATGGGGTATTTTTTAGTGATATTCGAAACGAACTTGGGATTCGCTCTTATCTCCCGAAAGGACGCTGACAAGAATGTCCTTGTCGCAGAGGGTTATCTCCCGATAGAGTTCTGCAGCTCGAGTTCGTGATTCGGTGAATATGAGGCAGGGGTACACAAGACCCTCAATCAACATTTTACGAAGTTCCAGGAGTTTTCCCTCCTCGGTACCACAATAACGAAGTTCCTGCTTTACCAATGACACCGCAGAGTTGCTAAAACGCAAAAAACGAATGATAGCAATCACCATGGTGAATAACAAGATTAAGATAGTGTTGGTATTATGAGATGTTCATGGAACATGGCACTACTACCTCCCTAAATGAAAAGAAGGAGCAAAAGTGACCTAACAGCCACATTGATAGGCATTTATCTCGTGATCAATGGCCAAGCAGACATGCACGTTAAATTCTTTGCCTTTGAAGGTACCAATTCCCACCACCTCATACTTCACAATGAAGTAAATTTCACAACTACGATAGTTTCCTATTCTAAAGACCAAATACATTGATATAATACGAATTGAATGATAAGATTAAGCGAAACAAAATTATAACCCATTAATGAAACCCAAAATAAGAATCAATGATAATAATGACATCAACTGACTCAAAGATATTGTATCAAAAAATCGACTTCCTTAAAAAATCCATTGAAATAACATAAAATATTACATAAAAACCATTTCCGATAAAGTAGATAAAAAACGCAAGGAGTTTAACAAGCAATAGTCAAACTAACCAGTCGCCAATTTGAATTTTGACCAAGCCCCGGGAGGCATCACAGTACTTGGAACTAATCTCCTCGACCGCCCAAGCGAGTACAGGCTCAGGAAGAGTAGCTGAGAAGAGAGCGATGCTAGGTGAACCCTTTTCATCTTGTATCGCAGTTAGAACAGCGTTTAGTTGAGCACGAAATGCGCGCAAGTTCATCTCCGCATGTTCGCCCAAATCTGACTCCAGCATCTTATCGCATTCGTCTATCACAAGCCAGCGCAAACTGAAAGGCGTCAAAAATGGGATATACTCCAAAAATTTCAAGGAGTGCAATGATATCCACAATAAATACTTACCTATCAAGCTTAATAGGACACTTCTCCTTCCTTTTCTTTAAAAGAGTAGTCAATCGAATAGGAGTGGTGATAAGAACCCGAGTGTCAGCAGGAAGCCTCTTTTCTCGGACCTTCTTTACTTTTTTACCATCTGTCGTTGATTCCTTCCTATTATTGTAATGATCTTTACGAAGTATAGCGATCTTTCCATGTTGTGGAAAGAGATTCGTTCCAATTTTCACAGCTTCGGTAAAAATTTGCCCAAGGAGTTCATGAGAGGTTGTGAGAATTATACAGTGGGGACGAACAGCATGATTTTCCTCTGAATTATCCGAAACCCCTTCCGCAGCAGCAATGTTTAAAAGAGGAATGAGATAGGCCGCTGTTTTGCCGGAACCCGTTGGAGATCCAACTAACATGTTGTGACCCTTAAAAACAAGCAATAATAAAGACCAATGCAAGCAAACCTCATGAAAAACCGGAATTGTAACTGTCTGAACTGGCATAGGCTTATTGTATCCAAATGATACAAGAGTTTTAACTGTATCTGACTGATATGCGTAGGGCGTTTTGGCAAGAGCTTTGAAGGCTTTGACAAGAGGAAACCCGTTCTTTAATTTTTTGGTAGGTTCAACCAAATACTGGCGAGTAAATTGTTGTGGCAAATGATCATCTTCGCCTTGTTTAGACTTTTGATGTATCTAAAGCTGACATTACAAAATGTAAATTATTATTACGTTTTTTGCAGGAATGTCAAACTCTACCATTCCCTGAGTAAGGGAGTTGAAAGCATCGCTGTAATCCATGACGAGCACGTTTTGATTATCACTGCAAGAAAGGACGAACTTGGAACCTACCAATAAGGTGTTTTTTAACATTTTAAACAAATTCTTTTAAAAATTATTTATGTTTTGTTTACAATTTTGTTTGAAAATTAGAAATTCATCAATCTATTTTCCCCTTCATGACATAAAACACTTACTGCTTATTTTGAGTTTTATTTATTAGGAAATATGACTAGATAGAGCTGGATGTACAAGAAAAATCGAAGGAAATCCGAAGCATGTTTCGAAAAGCAAGTGGTTTTAAAAGCCCTAAATTTTGATAGACCTAAGTAAGTAGAGACAACGCATACTTTTAAGATAGTTGACAAGTTAATTTCATTTTAAAATCCTATTTAATGAAAAAATATTTCATTGCAGCACTGTAAATAGCGCTCATTGTATTATCAAAATTCAATTCAACATTCTTTTTAGATTTTCTGCTGATATACCGGAGTTTTGTCATTTTTCTCCATTTCGCCATTTTTGTTTTACCAATCAATAATTTTGCGAGGACTAAGAGAATACTTTTGTTGACTTTCAATGATAGCAATAGTAAATATCCAACTTACTCCTCTTCCATGCATCTACTTAGAATGGTAAAGGATTGGAATTAATTAAGTCAAACTGAATATACCATGCCAATGGTAAAATAATTGAAATATAATGGTTTATTGATTAAATACACAATATGAAGAGAAACACTACAAATCATAGATGTAAGAATGCATTATCTCAAACTTCGAAAGTCATGCTTCTCTAAAAATTAAAAAAAACATATACAATTAATCTTACAAATTGGCCAAGAAATTATTGTGGACAATAAACTTACATTAGCAGTGGGTTTTCAGATATAAAAACATCTTATCAACCATTCCATCAATGTCAACCTCGTGCCTCCAGCCCCAGTCATTTCTTGCATTGCTATCATCTAAGACCTCTGGCCAGCTTTCGGCTGAAATGAAATTTAATGTAATTTTTTATTTTAAAAGTCACTATTAACAAGGAGCGCGTTCAAAATTACCGATCTTTTGACGGAAATCCACATCATATTTCAATTCATATGTCTGCAGCTGTTGTGATAGGCCATGGCGCTGCATTCCGCGAATCATGGCATCATTGATCTCCTTCGGAGTGAATGAGATTCCCGCCAAATTGTAGACACACCTCTTCAATTTCTCCCTCGGGCATTCTATAAACTCTGCCATAGCTCTGATAACATCGTCAATCCAAATCATTGGCAGCCTTGTATTTTCACTCAAAAAGCATGGATAGGGTTCACCACGCATCGCATACTTGAAGATATGGATAGCATAGTCTAGGAGAGATATTTTAAGGGGGGAGCTTTTATCTTACCAGTTGTACCACCTCCAGGTTCGATATCGGCAGAAATAACACCGGGAAGACGTAGTGATCTGAAATCGAGTCCATATCTGTGGTTCAAATACATGCCCAGCAGTTCGGCATGAACTTTACTCACTCCGTAGATGGTATTCGGCTGTTGAATGCAATCATCGGGAGTTGGATTGCGTGGGGAGTTGGGACCAAATGCGCCTATCCAATTACATAGTTAGGAAATGAACTTACCAATTGTACTTGGAATGAACAGGCGAAGATTAAACTCACGAGCAATATTGAAGATGTTATGGAGACCTTCAATATTGACTTTCATCGCAAGTGGAGTATTCTGCTCTCCAATAGCTGAGAGAAGAGCTGAAAAATGAACCAACCAATCAATACGATTTTCAACAATCAATTCCCTAAGTCCATTGGCATCCAAGATATCGGCAAATTCAAAATGACCGAGATCTTTAATAGGCCGATCAGGTTTCTTGATATCCGTTAAAACCACTGAGTCTTCACCAAATTTGGACCTGAGAATGGAAAGTGGATTGGAAAACGATGTCCTACCTGAAGACTGACGCCAGGGGCAATCCAAGTTGGCCCAAACCACCTGTAATTAGGATTCTTGGCTTGTCATTCTTTGTGCTTACTCCAAAACTCCTTTGAGCATTGTGAATAGGCCCAGATGTTATCGCTCGAATAGCAATTCGAGTGAAAGGTCTTTGACAGACTGAAATAGATTGGCGAACTAGCATTCCACAAGCACAAATAGTTGCATTACAGAGGGTGTCTTTTATACTACCCCAATACAAGTGAGTGCGTTAAAAATTTCACTACCACCACCTAATAACCACCCAAATATCAAAGAATTTTTTGCATTGGTAGGCACATTACTCTCAGGTAAGTTAATTACTGCTAAGGTCACTATCGCTCCAGTACAGATGTACCCACAAAAGCCAGATTCAAACATTAATAGAAAAGAAAGAAATGTTGAGCCTCTCTTTAATTTTGAATTAAAATATTAATAATCGAACAGCGACTGCCAATATTATCTCCAAAGCCCAAAGAATATTTCTTACAAATATATGCATTCGATACCACGCAATTTGAGCCCTCAAACAGCCAAATCGATATATTGATTGGATTATCCTTAAAGAAATTTTCCTCATACAATTTGTAGAATTAATAAGCAGCATATGTGTACATCTCCCCTTTTTATTTGTTTCAATGTGTTGATGAAACAATTAGATAGAACTAATTCCTTTAAGAGGGACTTGAAACTGAGCACTACAGAGGCGTCTAATGTTAAATTGTAATTTAAATTAGGATCCACCTAGGAGTGTCGTAAGAATAAGTAAGAAATAAATTGCTTTGAGTGTTTTTGAAGTGCATTGAGCATCTACTGAAAGTAGCTTAGTTAGTCTTTGATACAGGTCAGAATAGAGGTCTATCTACCAAGCCTTTAATTCTTGAGCTCTGCTCTATGAGCTATCGATTGTCTTCTTTTCTGGCTTGTCAAATTTTGCACCGTGGGAGAGTATTCTGAACGATTCACATGGCAACATAATTAGTGAAAAAAAAGACGAGGAGTGTGAAAATTCACAAATCCAGTCGATGTCTTATAAACTAGCAGCAACGTGAGAAAATTTGAGCCAATAAAAATATTTTTTGAGATTAGAGACCATCTTCTCACTTGGCACAGTACTCAAATTGTTTTCTTTGTGCCTGAATCAAACGTTTAGGCGCATAATTACAAGTCAGACCCTTTGAAACATTTAGGACAAATCGATTAATGTCTACTCGAAATTATGGGCAAACACAAGCATGCATTTCGCGGTAGGTGGACGCATTTCAAATTGGCCGACGAGTATTTAGCTTATCAACGTATTAATTCCAACCTTCTTAATCATTTCCACCTTAAAAGTGTAAAAAATAATTCAAATATATTTAATCAAGGACTCAATTTCAGTACAGTCAATTTTTGTTTCTTTTCTTTTATTGTTAATACAACTGATTTTGCGCTTAATAAGTGGTAAAGTGATGCCTATATAAGAATCGATTAGAGAAGATTAAGCAAACCTTGCAAATTCTAACCAATCTCCAACATGTAAAAACAAGATTTGAAGTAGGGAGGGGGAAAACGAAATTGCCGTAGACATAGCTACTAGTTTAAGGTCTATAATGTAGAGATCTCAATTAGCCGTACTATTATTGGTTAGTAAGTGGAATAAAGGCGGATTCTTTCACTTACCTGTTGACTTCTTTTGCCGTATTCGCTACGGTCTTTCAGATTGTACTTCTAATTACAAGTGCCACATAATTGCATTTAAACTGGGGAATCGGTATAAAATCTAGAAATTATAATATCCAGCAATTAAAAGTGCAAATTAAATATCTTTAAATCTTATTAGTTTCCTATTCAAAGTGGTCCCCACCTTGCGCTGAACAAATAAACAGAGAATTAACCGATTGGAGGTAAATGAGTCAAATTGGAAATGAAGGCATTGAATAAAAATCGATATTTGCTTTGCCAGCTTTTGCAAATTCAATTATACTAACGTAAAAATGAAGTGCGCTTATGCGTTAAAAGAAATTAAGACTAATAACAACAAGAAAGGTGTGTTTTCAGAGTGTTATTTTGGGTGTTTTACAACGCCCCATTCCAGAATCGAAGTTGCTCTTAGGTACAGACAATTCGCCTGACTGATTATGGTGGAAAATTTTAGGGAAATTCACTTGTAACTCAACGTAAAAGTGTGAAGCCTCTACGTCGCACAGATCAAAGCTAAATTTATTTCGATAAAGAACTAAGACAGACAAGAATCCGTGAAAAATGAATGCCGGTTTAATCTATCAATATTAATTACGCTCTTGGTATCACTGCTTTGCATAATTTTGTAGTAGAGCCTAAAATTGTGGATATTTGACAGAATGAGAAATTCTCAAATAAGTTCAAAGCAATTATATAAAGGTGAAGCAATAAGGATGTTGTTCCAGTGATACTGAAGGTGATTTAATTTAGTTCAATCATCAAAGTCGATTTCCCAGATTATATTTTTGCCAAAAGTATTTTAAAGTATTTAATAAAATAGTTTACTTGGCAAATAGAAAAGGTTATTAGGCCAGTGCTGAAAGTCTTATTTGTAGCGGATTGCTACGCTAGTTAAAGCCTGACCGACTCAGAAATCTCTATGGCAGATTCTCCTGACTCAGAAATCTCTTTGGCAGATTCTCCTACATCTAGACCGACTCAGAAATCTCCATGGCAGATTCTCAAACATCTAGCTACCGGCTCAGAAATTTCTATGGCAGATTCTCCAACATCTAGCTAGGAATCAGAAATCTCTATGGCAGATTCTCCAACCTCTAGCTAGAGAACAGCTAAGCTATAGCTCAGCTATAAAGAAAACAGACGTGTAGCACGGAGCGCGTTTATATCTGTGGCAGATTCTCCTACATCTAGCTAGACTCCCAGAACGGCAGATTCTCCAACATCTAGCTAGATTCCCAGAACCAGCTAAGCTATAGCCCAGCTATGAGGGAAACAGACGTGTAGCACGGAGCACGTTTATTCAGCGAGTATATTGCGGATCAATTGTACACATAGGGGGCCTAATCATGATCAGGATGGCTGGGGCCGCACCTCCCAATCCTGGCGAGCAGACATGCAGGCATACGATGACGCACAGAGCGATAACGTGTCCCACAAGGTAGATATGTGCACACAGCGATAACGTGTCCCACATGTCTAAGCCAGCTAGATGACATGAGAGATGACCAATTGTTGAGCGATAACGTGTCCCACATATTAATATAAAGATTAGAATAGATTATAGCGAGAGAACGGAATATAGACAGCAAGTAAAAGCTTAGAGAAGATAGTAAAGCCTGACCGACTCAGAAATCTCTTTGGCAGTTTCTCTAACATCTAGCTAGACTCCCAGAACAAGCTAAGCTATAGCCCAGCTATAAAGGAAACAGACGTGTTGCAAGGAGCACATTTATTCAGTACGTATATTGATAGCGAGTTGTGAATTTGGCAAAACGATTAGTTATCAGATAAATCTAGCATAATTCGAGTGAACATTAATAGCTAAACATCTCTGAGTAGTGTTCTGTAGCAGGATTTCTATTGGTCATTGGCTGTGCTTCTCCGCAACCAATCCGTGGGCGAGGTTGCACGGCCGCACCTTAAGCCCAGTGTGCGCGCCCGTGACGAAGTGTCCCAGAAATTAACTGATTATATAGCTCAAATGGGACCTCATCCGCCTAAACCTCCTGCCTCTAAAAGTACTTCTTCACTTCTTGACTTCTTTGAAAATGTGGTGTTGATATCACTTTTTAACAAAGTGGAGACGCACTTCCTTCGTCTATCCTCATATCCATCTATCCTCGGTATTTCCACACCTTTCAAAGACAATTTTGCTGTACAACACGAGCGGTGTGATTAATAGCAAACCACGGAAAACCCTGTGATTAACTGACTACTGTGTATGCTACGTTTGATAAATAAGTAGGATACATTTTGTCCATAAATAAGGATTCAAATTACTTAAAATGCACAACAGTCTTCATACAACACAAATGGTCTCTTTTCTCCAATCAGAAGGGCCAATACTGCGAGTACGATCGTGACGGGGGAGGTTGAGAGTGTGTCCTCCTCATAAAGAGTAGATGAAACAAAGAGGAACCATGTGGTTGTGGAGGAGAAGGTAGAGGTTGTGTAGGTGGCCACGGAACATAGAGTGACGGAAGCATGTGGGAAGGTGGAGGGGGAGTGGGATTAGGATAGCCATAACGTTGAGGCCCACTTTGCGTTGGTGGCATCGACTGTGCATGACCCATGGAATAATCTGCAGACACAAAATATTCACATCAAACCACTATCACTCACATGGATATTAACACAGTAGTCTCACAATTAAAGAACTCACTGTTAGACGGAAAAGGAAATCGATGACCGATATTGAGAGGGAAGTTAACCTGTCCCAGTTGCCAAAATGACATGTTTGGAAGTGTCCCCTGCTGCTGCTGCTGTGGTGGTGGAGGCATCATCCCAAATGATCCACTCAATTGTGATTGAGCAAATCGAACCTGTTCACCGCCACCTCCAAATTGGTAGGTACTCGATGGACCTCCAGACCACTGTCGATAGAAGCCGATGTAAGACTGATAGGCATGCTGCCGCTGTTGATGCCGTGGGTAATGGTTTACAGATTGAGACCGAACTATTCGGGATAAGCGATTTCGTTTAACAGCACGACCCCTCCTGCCTCCTCTAGGTACGCCTTTCGTCGCCTTCATTTGTGGTTGCTTTGTGCCTTTTGCCTTCCTTTCCTCCTCGTCGTCTGAGTAGAATTCCTCCTTCATAGACACAAAAGACACGATAAAGGCTATCAATACTAACGACGACACTCGATCAATTCAAATTAACATTATGCTTATCTCGGGTTTGCCCGCACTTTAAGAACACTGCATTGCCAAGGCCACTCATACTCAAACTGCGTTAACAGGCACGCAAACATACACAACGTCCACACCAACTTACACTCTCCATACATACAGTGTTGTTCGTGGTACAGGAAGCGGAATAATCAGAAAACGGACTGCTGACCCTACCTCCAAAACCTTCTTCATCGACATCGATTCTTCTCTTTCTCAAACACAATTGCTCTGAGATTCAAGCACCTATTGGCCTCAAGTGTCCCAAATTACTCTTCACTTTAATCTTATTTTGCATGACAGGAAGGGTTAGATCAAAATTCCCCTTAATGTTTCTATAAACACCTCTTTCAAAAGTAGACATTGACTAACGGAAAGAAGATCTACTTACATTAGGGTCACCCTCATCATAGGCTTTACTTTGTTGTAATTGGTCAGTCAACACTTTGATACTCAATTGAGCATCGTCAGCATAGTAGATTTCATCTCCAACCTTCACGTCAACCTCTATTTTTACAGGACAGGGAGGAATCTCTTGTGCGGCAGTCGACGCTTTTCCTTTTCTCTTTTCTGAAGTTTGTCTTCGATTCTCGTAGATAACCACATAAGAGGGCTGTTTTACTTGGCCAATTATATCATAAACGAGTCCCATAGGTCTTCGATCGGCGAAGTAAAGTGCTGAATCTCTGTCCAAAGCCGGGACTCCGGGAACGGATCGAATTACAACTACACCGTCAAAAAATGCAGTCACCTTCCCCAGTTGAAGCAACTTAACACTAGGCAACTAAAGAGTGAGAAAATGAGAGCAAAAGTGAATGAATTACAGGTGCTTGCGGTAACCTTGGAACATAGTCAAATTCAATTTCCAGAGGCTGACTAGGTCTTTGGACGGTCTAAAATGAAAGGGGTGGGGAATTAAGAAGTGGAGGCAACTTG